ATGATTGACGCATCCCACGTGTCACCAGAGGGAAACCCAGCGTCCTTTTACGAGGAGGGGTAGGGGTCCATCACATTTTGGCCAAAACCACACCCTCCACCCTGATACCAATCCATCTCAAAGCCCATCTGTGGGTGGTGCAGTTTGCAGCCCAGCTGGGAACGGTGGGCCCGGCTGTTCCACCTCGGCATGCCTGCTGACAGCTGGCCTTGCCGGGGGTCTCTTTTGCTCGGGAGGGTCCGCTGGGGCTGAGTTGGGGTCTTCAGTTTCACCTGCCTGTTGTCTGTGACTGCTGGTGATCCAAAGGGGCGTGGGTGAACCACGGCATGACGGGCGGTACCCCCCGGAGGTTCTGCTGGGGGCAGAATGTTCAGCCGGCAGGCACCTTCTGAGTCAGGTCCAGCCTCACTTGTCACTTGGCTGCTGCTGTAGACACTCAATTATTCGGTGTCCGATTGGGTGGAACGAGTTCTTTCCTGTCCCTGTCTCCTGTCTGTGACTTGGAAGCGGCCCCCTCCACCCCGCAGTCTTCCGTGAAGATTAAGGCCCAGGAGTTCTTGTCACTGTCAGGTTAGAACGATTCATGCTGGAGCCACGTGCCTTTGGTCACCGGGGACACATCGTGGCAGCTGGGCCCGGCTGGCATCTGTCTACTGGAGCCTCTTTCCTCAGGGCAGTCTGATAAGCAGGCTTCTGTCTTTTTTTTTTTTTTTGAGTCAGAGTCTCACTCTGTCACCCAGGCTGGAATGCAGTGGCGCAATCTCAGCTGGCTGCAACCTCTGCCTCCCGGGTTCCAGCTATTCTCCTGCCTCAGCCTCCCGAGTAGCTGTGATTACAGGCACCCGCCACCACACCCAGCTAATTTTGTATATTTAGGAGAGACGGGGTTTCACCATGTTGGCCAAGCTGGTCTCGAACTCCTGACCTCAGGTGATCTGCTTGTGTTGGTCTCCCAAAGTGCTGGGATTATAGGCGTGAGTCACGATGCCCGGCCACTTCTGTTATCTTGTGTTGGCTTTGGCAGTGGCACCATTCACTGGGGTGGGAATTCGGGACAGGGTCTCGCTCTGTCACCCACGCTGGAGTGCAGTGACTCGATCTCGGCTCACTGCAGCCTCCACCTCCTGTGCTCAAGCAATCCTCCCGCCTTAGCCTCCCAAGTAGCTGGGATGACAGGTGCACTCCAACATCTCCAGCTAATTTTGATTTTTTTTTTTTTTTTTGTAGCCATGGGGTCTTGCTCTACTGCCCAGGCTGGTCTCCCAAACTGCTGGGTAACGGATGTGAGCCACCGCACCTGGCTGAGTTTGGGACCCTCTGAGCCATGCACGGATCTCAGTTCTGCAGGGCCAGCTCCAGAGCCTGGAACTTGGGCAGATTCTCAGAACACCTTTTATAAAAGGAGGTGCCCTGAGCAGGCGCAGGGGAGAGGCAGGCCCAGGGCAGC